TTATTATTCACCACCACCCTCCCCACCCTTAATTTTCCCTTTGCTCCCCCGCTGAACTTTTCCTCAATGGAAAGCTTAGAGTTCCTCCTGTTGGCACTTACACGGCACTAAGGACATAGCAGTAGCAGATCATGTATGCAGGCTCCAACTATTTAGTCCCGGGCTGTCATTATTTCCTTCATTGGCTACATACAATGGTTCTACACTTTGAATAAACTTCCCTCTAGTAATAGTCTATTTGATCTTTTATTTGTTCACAGAAAATAATCGGGAAAATTGCAACATGTCTAGAACTCCGCAGCGCCGCCCTGCAGGTATGTGCTGGTAACACAACCCATTTTTATGTTATGGGAGCTGAAATCATCATATCTGCTCCTTGCAGGAGGAAGGGATACCTTTTTTATCTTGAAGGTCACATGCATGGCTCTAACTATTTCTCCCATTAATAGTATAAAGTACAATAGTTAAGACCACTCCCGGCCTAAAAACGCAGTTGAAATACATGCCGTATATGATTTGTTTTACCTGCCATATGGTTTGTAGAGTGGAGCGCGTATTATATGCTGTGTTCTAAGGGCTGCATAGATTAGAGGGTGACAACACTCTTCAGAGCCTACAGTTCTATAGCCTACAGCCACAAAGAATTGAGAAGCCCTCCAGTAGCCCCTACAGAGTGCAGTATTGCCTTTTTAATACAAGAGGGTGTTTACAAATCCAAAAAGCAAGGAGTCCAGTGTTAGGCTTTAAATTGTCCCTGTGAATAACACCCTCATCCTAAGGTGACAACACTTGCTGTACTGTATGTGTGGAGAAGCAGCATTGTCTCCCTAGGCCACTCTCTTGATTTGGACTTCAGACACCTCCCCCTTTTTCTCCTCTCCATTATGTAGCAGGGAGTTGTTTTGTAGATCACGTAAGATAGCTGGGAAGACGAATAACATTGTTTGAGATTTCAGTTTGGTGCACACAGAATTTTCTTGCAGGATCCACAGGTTTTCCCTTATCTTGCAAAAAAAAACAAAATCTTCTGGAAATGAAACTAATGCAGCAACTAGATCTACCAACGAAAAAAACCCCAAAACTGGGCTTCAACGGTTCTTACTACATTTCCAATCCTCTCTCCTCAATCTCTCCCCTGGCTGGCTCTCTCTCTCCTCCTCGCTCTCTCTCTCTCCTCCTCGCTCTCTCTCGCTCTCTCTCGCGCTCTCTCCTCCTCGCGCTCTCTCGCGCTCTCTCCTCCTCGCGCTCTCTCGCGCTCTCTCCTCCTCGCGCTCTCTCGCGCTCTCTCCTCCTCGCGCTCTCTCGCGCTCTCTCCTCCTCGCGCTCTCTCGCGCTCTCTCCTCCTCGCGCTCTCTCGCGCTCTCTCCTCCTCGCGCTCTCTCGCGCTCTCTCCTCCTCGCGCTCTCTCGCGCTCTCTCCTCCTCGCGCTCTCTCGCGCTCTCTCCTCCTCGCGCTCTCTCGCGCTCTCTCCTCCTCGCGCTCTCTCGCGCTCTCTCCTCCTCGCGCTCTCTCGCGCTCTCTCCTCCTCGCGCTCTCTCGCGCTCTCTCCTCCTCGCGCTCTCTCGCGCTCTCTCCTCCTCGCGCTCTCTCGCGCTCTCTCCTCCTCGCGCTCTCTCGCGCTCTCTCCTCCTCGCGCTCTCTCGCGCTCTCTCCTCCTCGCGCTCTCTCGCGCTCTCTCCTCCTCGCGCTCTCTCGCGCTCTCTCCTCCTCGCGCTCTCTCGCGCTCTCTCCTCCTCGCGCTCTCTCGCGCTCTCTCCTCCTCGCGCTCTCTCGCGCTCTCTCCTCCTCGCGCTCTCTCGCGCTCTCTCCTCCTCGCGCTCTCTCGCGCTCTCTCCTCCTCGCGCTCTCTCGCGCTCTCTCCTCCTCGCGCTCTCTCGCGCTCTCTCCTCCTCGCGCTCTCTCGCGCTCTCTCCTCCTCGCGCTCTCTCGCGCTCTCTCCTCCTCGCGCTCTCTCGCGCTCTCTCCTCCTCGCGCTCTCTCGCGCTCTCTCCTCCTCGCGCTCTCTCGCGCTCTCTCCTCCTCGCGCTCTCTCGCGCTCTCTCCTCCTCGCGCTCTCTCGCGCTCTCTCCTCCTCGCGCTCTCTCGCGCTCTCTCCTCCTCGCGCTCTCTCGCGCTCTCTCCTCCTCGCGCTCTCTCGCGCTCTCTCCTCCTCGCGCTCTCTCGCGCTCTCTCCTCCTCGCGCTCTCTCGCGCTCTCTCCTCCTCGCGCTCTCTCGCGCTCTCTCCTCCTCGCGCTCTCTCGCGCTCTCTCCTCCTCGCGCTCTCTCGCGCTCTCTCCTCCTCGCGCTCTCTCGCGCTCTCTCCTCCTCGCGCTCTCTCGCGCTCTCTCCTCCTCGCGCTCTCTCGCGCTCTCTCCTCCTCGCGCTCTCTCGCGCTCTCTCCTCCTCGCGCTCTCTCGCGCTCTCTCCTCCTCGCGCTCTCTCGCGCTCTCTCCTCCTCGCGCTCTCTCGCGCTCTCTCCTCCTCGCGCTCTCTCGCGCTCTCTCCTCCTCGCGCTCTCTCGCGCTCTCTCCTCCTCGCGCTCTCTCGCGCTCTCTCCTCCTCGCGCTCTCTCGCGCTCTCTCCTCCTCGCGCTCTCTCGCGCTCTCTCCTCCTCGCGCTCTCTCGCGCTCTCTCCTCCTCGCGCTCTCTCGCGCTCTCTCCTCCTCGCGCTCTCTCGCGCTCTCTCCTCCTCGCGCTCTCTCGCGCTCTCTCCTCCTCGCGCTCTCTCGCGCTCTCTCCTCCTCGCGCTCTCTCGCGCTCTCTCCTCCTCGCGCTCTCTCGCGCTCTCTCCTCCTCGCGCTCTCTCGCGCTCTCTCCTCCTCGCGCTCTCTCGCGCTCTCTCCTCCTCGCGCTCTCTCGCGCTCTCTCCTCCTCGCGCTCTCTCGCGCTCTCTCCTCCTCGCGCTCTCTCGCGCTCTCTCCTCCTCGCGCTCTCTCGCGCTCTCTCCTCCTCGCGCTCTCTCGCGCTCTCTCCTCCTCGCGCTCTCTCGCGCTCTCTCCTCCTCGCGCTCTCTCGCGCTCTCTCCTCCTCGCGCTCTCTCGCGCTCTCTCCTCCTCGCGCTCTCTCGCGCTCTCTCCTCCTCGCGCTCTCTCGCGCTCTCTCCTCCTCGCGCTCTCTCGCGCTCTCTCCTCCTCGCGCTCTCTCGCGCTCTCTCCTCCTCGCGCTCTCTCGCGCTCTCTCCTCCTCGCGCTCTCTCGCGCTCTCTCCTCCTCGCGCTCTCTCGCGCTCTCTCCTCCTCGCGCTCTCTCGCGCTCTCTCCTCCTCGCGCTCTCTCGCGCTCTCTCCTCCTCGCGCTCTCTCGCGCTCTCTCCTCCTCGCGCTCTCTCGCGCTCTCTCCTCCTCGCGCTCTCTCGCGCTCTCTCCTCCTCGCGCTCTCTCGCGCTCTCTCCTCCTCGCGCTCTCTCGCGCTCTCTCCTCCTCGCGCTCTCTCGCGCTCTCTCCTCCTCGCGCTCTCTCGCGCTCTCTCCTCCTCGCGCTCTCTCGCGCTCTCTCCTCCTCGCGCTCTCTCGCGCTCTCTCCTCCTCGCGCTCTCTCGCGCTCTCTCCTCCTCGCGCTCTCTCGCGCTCTCTCCTCCTCGCGCTCTCTCGCGCTCTCTCCTCCTCGCGCTCTCTCGCGCTCTCTCCTCCTCGCGCTCTCTCGCGCTCTCTCCTCCTCGCGCTCTCTCGCGCTCTCTCCTCCTCGCGCTCTCTCGCGCTCTCTCCTCCTCGCGCTCTCTCGCGCTCTCTCCTCCTCGCGCTCTCTCGCGCTCTCTCCTCCTCGCGCTCTCTCGCGCTCTCTCCTCCTCGCGCTCTCTCGCGCTCTCTCCTCCTCGCGCTCTCTCGCGCTCTCTCCTCCTCGCGCTCTCTCGCGCTCTCTCCTCCTCGCGCTCTCTCGCGCTCTCTCCTCCTCGCGCTCTCTCGCGCTCTCTCCTCCTCGCGCTCTCTCGCGCTCTCTCCTCCTCGCGCTCTCTCGCGCTCTCTCCTCCTCGCGCTCTCTCGCGCTCTCTCCTCCTCGCGCTCTCTCGCGCTCTCTCCTCCTCGCGCTCTCTCGCGCTCTCTCCTCCTCGCGCTCTCTCGCGCTCTCTCCTCCTCGCGCTCTCTCGCGCTCTCTCCTCCTCGCGCTCTCTCGCGCTCTCTCCTCCTCGCGCTCTCTCGCGCTCTCTCCTCCTCGCGCTCTCTCGCGCTCTCTCCTCCTCGCGCTCTCTCGCGCTCTCTCCTCCTCGCGCTCTCTCGCGCTCTCTCCTCCTCGCGCTCTCTCGCGCTCTCTCCTCCTCGCGCTCTCTCGCGCTCTCTCCTCCTCGCGCTCTCTCGCGCTCTCTCCTCCTCGCGCTCTCTCGCGCTCTCTCCTCCTCGCGCTCTCTCGCGCTCTCTCCTCCTCGCGCTCTCTCGCGCTCTCTCCTCCTCGCGCTCTCTCGCGCTCTCTCCTCCTCGCGCTCTCTCGCGCTCTCTCCTCCTCGCGCTCTCTCGCGCTCTCTCCTCCTCGCGCTCTCTCGCGCTCTCTCCTCCTCGCGCTCTCTCGCGCTCTCTCCTCCTCGCGCTCTCTCGCGCTCTCTCCTCCTCGCGCTCTCTCGCGCTCTCTCCTCCTCGCGCTCTCTCGCGCTCTCTCCTCCTCGCGCTCTCTCGCGCTCTCTCCTCCTCGCGCTCTCTCGCGCTCTCTCCTCCTCGCGCTCTCTCGCGCTCTCTCCTCCTCGCGCTCTCTCGCGCTCTCTCCTCCTCGCGCTCTCTCGCGCTCTCTCCTCCTCGCGCTCTCTCGCGCTCTCTCCTCCTCGCGCTCTCTCGCGCTCTCTCCTCCTCGCGCTCTCTCGCGCTCTCTCCTCCTCGCGCTCTCTCGCGCTCTCTCCTCCTCGCGCTCTCTCGCGCTCTCTCCTCCTCGCGCTCTCTCGCGCTCTCTCCTCCTCGCGCTCTCTCGCGCTCTCTCCTCCTCGCGCTCTCTCGCGCTCTCTCCTCCTCGCGCTCTCTCGCGCTCTCTCCTCCTCGCGCTCTCTCGCGCTCTCTCCTCCTCGCGCTCTCTCGCGCTCTCTCCTCCTCGCGCTCTCTCGCGCTCTCTCCTCCTCGCGCTCTCTCGCGCTCTCTCCTCCTCGCGCTCTCTCGCGCTCTCTCCTCCTCGCGCTCTCTCGCGCTCTCTCCTCCTCGCGCTCTCTCGCGCTCTCTCCTCCTCGCGCTCTCTCGCGCTCTCTCCTCCTCGCGCTCTCTCGCGCTCTCTCCTCCTCGCGCTCTCTCGCGCTCTCTCCTCCTCGCGCTCTCTCGCGCTCTCTCCTCCTCGCGCTCTCTCGCGCTCTCTCCTCCTCGCGCTCTCTCGCGCTCTCTCCTCCTCGCGCTCTCTCGCGCTCTCTCCTCCTCGCGCTCTCTCGCGCTCTCTCCTCCTCGCGCTCTCTCGCGCTCTCTCCTCCTCGCGCTCTCTCGCGCTCTCTCCTCCTCGCGCTCTCTCGCGCTCTCTCCTCCTCGCGCTCTCTCGCGCTCTCTCCTCCTCGCGCTCTCTCGCGCTCTCTCCTCCTCGCGCTCTCTCGCGCTCTCTCCTCCTCGCGCTCTCTCGCGCTCTCTCCTCCTCGCGCTCTCTCGCGCTCTCTCCTCCTCGCGCTCTCTCGCGCTCTCTCCTCCTCGCGCTCTCTCGCGCTCTCTCCTCCTCGCGCTCTCTCGCGCTCTCTCCTCCTCGCGCTCTCTCGCGCTCTCTCCTCCTCGCGCTCTCTCGCGCTCTCTCCTCCTCGCGCTCTCTCGCGCTCTCTCCTCCTCGCGCTCTCTCGCGCTCTCTCCTCCTCGCGCTCTCTCGCGCTCTCTCCTCCTCGCGCTCTCTCTCTCTCTCTCCTCCTCGCTCTCTCTCTCTCTCCTCCTCCCTCCCCTCCCTGCTGCTGTATCTGGGAGACACTTCCTGGTTCTATCAGCCCCTAGGATTACAGCACTATGCACGGGCTTCGCACTATCTCTGCGCCACCTTCAGGTCATGTGGGGAACTGCAGCACGCATTCAGCTGCACTAGAACTGCTGGAGGGAGCTCAGTACTTTGAGCCGACTTGAGATCGTGATCTACCAGCGTTGGCTTTGCGATCGACTGGTAGATCGCGATCGACCTAATGGGCACCCCTGATGTAGCGGATAGAGATGAACCAATGTGGATTCCAGCTGACTCTTGTGTGCATCCAATGAGAGGTCTCTCTGGCCTCCTGCCTCTCCATTGTCAGCTGTGAGATTGGCCTCCTGTCGCTCTTTGTTGTCAGCTGTGGGATCGGTGGCAGACGGCCACTGCACAACCTGCCTGCAGAACGTGAATGGAGAAGGGTGTGTCCCAGCTGAACAAGCCAGTTTTACATTTGAACAAGGCAAACATGCCAACATATTGTATAAATATGACATCCGACATATGAGCTCTGTCTAAAGTAAAAATAACTGAACTCGCAAAACTTCACACATGGGAAAGCCTGTACTTAGACGGTTGCCTCCACAGAAAGAAGGCATTTTAGGTCCATAATGGGGAAAAGATCAGCTGCAGGGAACCTACAGGCAATACTGGTGACTAGTCCTTTGCCATATGTGCCATTTCTACTGTACATGTTCTCTTCAAGCAGGATATTCTTTCTCCAGAGAGCTTTCTTTTGTGTTGGGGAGTACATGAAATCATTCCATATGCTTCCAAAAGCTTGCCACAATTGTCACGTGGGATGCCAACAGCGTCTTGGCAATGCCTTCAGTCTGCAGATTCTCCAAGTTTCTCTTTGTACTTTGCTCATGGCATGGAGCAGCATCAAATACAAAAGTTCGCCTGCCCATTAAAGGACAAGATCACAACACTGTACCCTCAACCCTTTCTCCTGCAGCCCCTTACTTACCTCCTCCAGTGACTTAAATAGAACATACCCATAGCGCAGGAGGAATATTGTATTAAAGTCTATGGGAAGTCAGTGTGCAGGTGCAGGCAGCATCGCACTAAGGGCTCATTCACACCACATCCAGATCATCTCCAGACCCAAAATGCATCCTAATGTATCCCTATGCTATTTCTGGCCTCTGTTCACACCAGCGCTGTACGTTCCAGACCAGACGAGTAAAAATACTGCATGTCTCATTTTGTCTTGTCTAGAATGCACTGGAACTGCAGGCAACTTTACACCATTTTCCGGACCAGATGTGGTCCCGAAAATGGTGTGAACCTGCCCTAAGAAAATGATTTATAGCAGAAAGCTGATATCTCCTATGTGCTTTCATTGTACTCGGCTGGAATTCACACCGCGTAGTCTGTTGCCCCATGGAGTTCGCAGTGCTTTCCTCGGCAGGGAGAATAGCTCCATGATTGGAGGAACTCTTGTTTTTTAAATGAACCCATCGATGTAAACCAGCTGGGCTGCAGATTTTATGAACTTGTCCTTTAAGACATGACTGAGGGCAAAGTATGATTGGATACAAGCTCTGTAGGATAGATGAATTACTTTAGGTGGACATTTACAATAAGCGCTGCACCAATTCTGAAACATTTACAAAGTGAGCTTGTTTTATATCTCATTCTATAATCCCTTACTGTTCATCACAGATTATTTCTACCGCTGATATGAATAGTATATTTGCTCTGTTTCTCTCCCCCCCCCCCCCCCCACAAAAACTTTTTCGAGGATAGGGATGTATAGGTCTATGACAAATACAGGGGGAACCCCCCCCCCCCCCCCAAAAAATGGTTTTTGGTAGTAATGCTAAGTGGGAAGCTTATTGTTTAGGGTGAAGCATGACCAATTGAAGGTTTCTAATTGGTCCATATAGGAGGGGCTCAGATGTAATCTACAGGTGCCCTGAGCAGTAAAATAATCTCCCTATTCTGTTCTGTTTTTCAGTCCACGCAATCTCAAGAAGGGTTCCAGCTGGAAGATATAAAGAAACTAGAGCCAAGTAAGTACACAGCTTTAAAGGAAACTTGTCACCATGCAAAGAACCCCTGAGAACGTGCCCATGGAAGTGACCCTTCCCTAACTTGTGCCACATACTGGTTTTAAAGAGGTGATGCAAGGAGTAGCCTAAGTGCACCAGTATCCGGTGTGGCTGCTGCTTCCCTATCTCTGTTTTGGTCACCTGCTGGTGATATCTGGTGTTGCTTTATGACCATCAAATACGGAGGGTCCCTCCACCATAGTTCTGCTCGTCAGACTAATATCCTTCAAAAGCAACAAGCAAAATAATTTGGGCTCTTCAAATTTTCCAATGTTGCCATTTTTCTAGGACATTTTTTTTTTTTTAAGGGACCGTTCCAGAGTGCCTAATGGAAAATTGGTGCTGGGGGTCTCAGGTCTGAGGTATTATATCCACCTAAAGCTAGTATATCACTTGGAGACCCTATTAGGAATGTCCCTGATGAAGTCTGTGTCCTCAGGAGCCGGGAGGGGGGCCTGGGAATATCTCATTTCTGAAGTGGGATCAGTCTTTTTTTTCTTTTAATCCTATTCTCCTTTTCTTTAGTTCTAGACAACCTTCTAACCTACAACAAAGAATTCCCTTTTGATGTACAACCTGTCCCTTTAAGGTGAGTGAATATTCATTCCTTGGATGGTCATTTGGCATAATTTATCCACTTCTATAAAAAGATCTGAACTGCAGTGTTTTCCTTTTTGATGTGACTTCCTCATTTGTACCTGCCTGCCTCTCCTCATTTGTACCTGCCTGCCTCTCCTCATTTGTGCCTGCCTGCCTCTCCTCGTTTGTGCCTGCCTGCCTCTCCTCATTTGTGCCTGCCTGCCTGCTCTTCCATGTATTAGTACATTAAGGTGACATTACAGGCAAAAAAATAAATGTCCCTCACCCCAACGTAAATTAAAGCACTTACCTTAAATGATGTCTTTTAATCCGATCATCTTCTTTCCTTTCGTTTTCAGCCTTCTCTCCAGCGCTGCGGCGAATCTCCGATCCAGCGCTGACTCACTGACTGACTTACCTTGTGTCTTTCCTCGCGTCCCAGCCGACAATGTGAACTGCGGATGCGACTGTCCCAAGATGCTTTGCGGCCTCCCGTGCAGTTTCACATTTTCGGACGGGAGCACGCGGGGAAGACACAGGTAAGTTTAAACCACTGTTAAAGCGTTTAAAAAAAACTTTTTTCATATATCTAATGCTTGCTCGCAGTAGATATGTGCAAAAAAAAGCTGAGGGTTTAGAAACCCTTTAAATATATTGATATGTAGTGAAACCCCTGGAAGCTTTTACTGAAATCACTCAGACTATCATCTTAACTCCAGCTAATATATCGGCCACACAGGGAGTGCATTGTCTTCAATGAATGGGCAGACTCCTAGATTTGCATGGTGAGAGGGAGCAGTAAAGCGTAACCACTGTGTAGCAGTACAAAGCAGTTAACAGAGCATGCATATGTAATGATGGCTGCCCATATGTACGCATTCTAACTTTACACTGAAATAAGGTTTTGTATCCTTTCTAACTGAACAAAAGGAATATGGCGGTGTCACCATAACAACTGTCATTTTTCATTAGAAAATGAAAGCATTTGGCTGGTAAACATTCCATTTGTTCAGGTTGATGACTTGTGCTCATTGGTTGTTTTGTAGGAGGATTTTGGCACCAGGAGAAGAGGAGAATCTGGAAGTGGAGGAGGAGGAAGAGGATGGAGGTGCTGGGGTGGGCTCACCAGACTCTTTTCCTGCTCGTGTACCGGGTAAGAGGGGTTTTTGTTTGTCTGTCTGGGTGTTCTAAAGATGGAAGGTGTAAATGGCAGGCTTGTAACATCTTTATCATTCATTACACTGGATTCTGGTAGTTCAGTGCTTTGTGTTACTTCTGCCGTCCATTCCCTTTTGCATGTTTGTTTTCTTGTGAACTGATATCTTATAATGGGCCTTGCTGAAAAGAAATACTAAATGTGCCATCAGTGATAAAGTGCATGTAGGGAGCACAGATTTGTACTGATAAAAAAGAACAGATTTGTAAAGGTTCTGGAATGTCGGCACGCATGCAGTCTCCAGCGCTCCTGCGGCATGTCCGTAAGTCTTAGCCGCTCCTGTGGCATGTCCGTAAGTCTTAGCCGCTCCTGTGGCGTGTCCGTAAGTGTCCAGCCGCTCCTCCTGTGGCGTGTCCGTAAGTGTCCAGCCGCTCCTCCTGTGGCGTGTCCGTAAGTGTCCAGCCGCTCCTCCTGTGGCGTGTCCACATATACTGAATATTAAAGTGATGCCCTTGTGTAATGTAGGGGCTGCAGTTGTGGCCCTCCTATATCTAGTGTGCTGACTACCAATGTACAGTAAGGTCTTGCAGACTGGATAGCTTTTATATTTTAATGACATTATGTTTATCTTTTTGTATATTTTTGTTTGTCATATTTATTTATTTTTCACACTATAAATTGATTTGTGTTGTCATTTCATAGTAAGAAATATAAGTAATGTTTGTGCATGATCTTATTTCTCCCTGTGCCATGACCCCGATGCTCCCTGCATGCTCTATTTGTTATCTTGCCATCATTGTGCTTGTAACATCGCTGCCTCCATGCATGGCCTCTGCATGTGCTGGTATCTCTCATCATCACAGGAGCCATTCAAGGTAGGGATACACGGGACAAGTTTTTGGTATTTTTTTTTTCCTTTGTATTTTTTGTGATGCTTAGTTATTTAAATCTATTGCTTGATTTGCAATTATATAGGTATTTCTATAGTTTTAGAGAATTGGCAAGAATTGATGTCACCTGTGTCACAATTCTATCCTTTCTTTTAAATAGGCAAATGGAATGTGGTTGCTGTGGGTAATAGAAATGTTCCTGTACTAGCTAACTGAAAGCTGAACTTCAGACAGATCTAAAATACACAAATGAATGCAGCTCTGTATTCATTAAAGTGGACCTTCACCCATCTCTTTAAAATAACAATAAACACACCATTAGAAATGTTTAGTAATGACAATCTACAAACACATACTTCTAGATCATTGCCGGCTTTGTATTCTTTGCATACATTAGTTCTCTTCTCTTCCCTAGTCTTCTGACAGCAGATTACTAGCTCTCCTTTTTACTTCCTGGAATTCTGGCACATGTGACTAGGACATGTGACCATGCACATCATCTCAGGGGAGGAAAATGCCTTTCCCTGGGATCTCATGAGACTAAAGATGAGATTTCCCAGCAATTTCCATACAAGTAATGCAAAAATCCTCTTGAAGGAGGTCAATGCAGGTAAGAAGGTCAAATGTACCCACCTATGAATACCGACTGATCTCGGAAATGGTTGAAATTAATGTACAAACCCAGATCCCATCGACACAGCCCTAAATCTCAGGACTGGATGAACAATAATACAAATCCTTTAGCACATATAACGACTCCCAAATATTTAATCTCTGTATTTAGCTCTTTGCCTGGAGTTCAGCTTTAATTAATCCCGTGTACTCTACAATACTGTAATACAATTCTGGGTATCCTTCTATTCTTAAAATATTTATTATTGTTTCCCCTTTTTTCTCTTTCCCTTCCTTAGGAACTCTCCTACCCAGACTACCGTCCGAGCCGGGGATGGCTCTGCTCACCATACGGATTGAAAAGATTGGCTTGAAGGATGCTGGCCAGTGTATTGACCCGTATATAACGGTCAGCGTGAAGGGTGAGTAAAGGAGTAATCCTGGTGGGTTACTTTCTATGAAGTTGCTGTAGAAATTTTCAGAGGGGGAAATTCGTCAAGATGGGTGCAGTGTGGAGGGAATACCACTCTGAAGGTCCTCCCAGATCCTCACCAGCAACGTGAATGAAGCATCCCTGTTGATGATCTGACAGAATAGGCGCAGTCATGTGAGCAATAACGAGCAACTGTGCGGTTGTTCCATTGCAGAACATGCACGACGTGCCGGAGAATCTCTCATTGTCGAGGAATTGGACTTTTTGTCTGTTCTTTGCCCCTCTTTGCAAAGTACCATTGTGTTGCATCCTTTAAAAAAAGTACAGACTGCCAGATTTGTGCTCCTCCTGAGTCTGATTGGCTTGTTTGATGAATTTCCGCTGATCTCAAACATTGCACCGATAGAGGGTAACAGCATAGCTCTATAAGGCCCCATTCACAGTGCACGATTCGCAAATGCTTGCATTGAGCAAGCTAGAATCGCGGCATAATCCGCTCCAAAAAGGGTCCTGCTGTAGCGACGCACGACCCGCGACAGCAGGACCCTTTGCCCCATTGCCAAGCATTGGAGAGCGATATCGCTCAGTGTGAACGGGGCCTAAAGCTGTGTTGCTTCTCTTAGGGTAAATCTGCCCCCCGATATCGCCTTATCCCGCTCCTCATTGACATGTACAATTTATTCTCTTCATCCCCGGGAGAGCCGTTTCTCCTGGCCGCCCCTTTCTGGGAATCCTGTCCTCTCCGTCCAAGCTAAGATGTTCTTATGATGTTGTCATTTTGGCTAACTAACCACCCCACACCTTTTTGGAAGCAATCTTCCAGAGTGTGCTAATGGCAGCAGTGGATTGTGGGAGCTGCGTCACTCTCCTGCCATGTAAAAACACTGTACAGACAGAACATGCTAAACAAATCCCCAAAACACAGACATAGAAGGCTTTTTATGTCTTTTAGATTCTGTTTATATGATATTCTCTCTGACTCTGATCGTGTGAGCCAGGCTTCAGAGAGGAGGAGTTCCTTGCTGATCGTTTTCATCATTCTTTGTGATTCAGAGCTCAGTGATGGTGTCTGATGTTGCTAGAACATTCTCTTGTGTATGGCCAACATAAGTGATGGTCAGTTTATGGCGCATCCTTAAAGTGGAACTAACGTTTGCAAAAACTCACCTTGCCTCCTGCGATGTGATGTCTGCCAACTCCTTTGCTGACACCGACATCTTCTCCCCAGATCCATCCTGGGGCTGGGCCTCTGGCTGTCTTGATTGGTCAGTGGGGCATGACTTAACTCCCACATGTGCACACAGGAGTTCATTCATCCCAGCACAGAGGTGCACTGAGCATGTTAAGTAGGCTATACACCAGGGGTAGCCAAACTCCGGCCCTCCAGCTGTGGTGGAACTACAAATCCCATGAGGCTTTGCAAGATTCTCACAGCCTCAGACATGACTCCTGGAGAGAAATGCATCATGGGATTGGAAGTTCCACCACAGCTGGAGGGCCGGAGTTTGGCTACTCCTGCTATACACTATGCCAGTTTTGAAATTCACACAGTGGGAGGCCCTGTGGGCACTCTTCCACTCGGCATCCTTTGATCAGAAGATCGAAGGAGCTGGTCGGGAAATCTTCGGCCGAACAGAGCTTGCAGCCACTCCACTTACAGAATACAATGGGAAAAGCAGGAGATTCCTCCATTCAGCGTGTTCAAGATGAATGGAGGAATCTGTTGTTTTTTGTGGGGTGGGTGGGTGGGAGTTCAGTGTATATTGTAAAAAGGATTGTGGACAGGCAGGTCTTATGGCAGAATAGACAAAGTGTGTCCCTTCTGCAGTAAAGAGTTGCCTGCTTACAATCTATTTGTTACCTTTTAGTTCCACATTAACCTTTATGGAATTACTGACTTGGTTACAGAGCTCTTGCTCCCTCTTGCAGGGCTTTTGCTACCTGTCAGAGCTGCACCCCCTCCTCCTCCCATGAGGACTGGTGTTTTTATAACTTGTGGGAGGAGAGGAGGGTATTCGGAAGCATTAGGATAGGTGCAGAAAACACAGGTCCACGTAATGGATGAAGCAACAGCAGGGAGATCATTGCACTACAGGTCATCAGGTGCAGCTTCCTCTCCTGTAAGGACAACAATGAGCAGCTCAGTAGTGACATCACAAATCTCACTCCAAATCTCTGGTTGGATGCAGCAGTGCCTTAGATAATCTCGCACTGCAGATACAGAACTATGAGGCTGTAGCTACAGGAGTGACCAGGCACAATCACATACAACAACTTGCTCTGCCATTTAAGGATTCAAGACAAAAGGTAGATTGTTCAGGGTATTGCTTAGGTCCAATAACCACTTCTAGATGTGTTCAGTAAGATGACAAATCCTCACTTTTTGAGTTCAGGTCCACTCTAAACATTACAAGGCCCTTCTGTGGACCTCCCCACGTTAAGATCAGATTTACTGAGTGAACCCCTTGTAAGCTTGCCTGTATTGGGGGGAAATGAGTACAGTGTAATGAGAACATTTTCTTGGTCTTTGTTTTGCAGATATAAATGGTATAGACTTGACCCCGGTACAAGACACTCCCATGGCCTCCCGGAAAGAGGACACATACGTTCATTTTAATGTGGAAATCGAAGTTCAGAAACACATTGAAAAACTCACAAAAGGTGTTTATTTTCCCCTTTTTAAGCTTAATCCTTTCTGTGTACACTTGCAGTCTGCTGTAAAATGCAATATATTTTCTTTCTTGTCCATTGAGGGACACAGGAAGCCATATACTGCCCCTGTGGGGGGTTTTTGGTGTCCAATTTCCCTGTAGGCAGCATGACTTCTGTGCCCCTCAATGAACTCCCAAGAAAAGGGTTTTACAATGAGTATGAAAATCCTATTTTCTTTTTCTTGTCTATCGAGGGACACAGGAAGTTGTATATTGTGATAGTTATACTGCCGCCTACAGACGGATTAGAAACTAACAAAAAAACAGACAGTATATGACTTCTTTGTCCCTCAGTTGACTCCACCAACAGCATATGACTTCCTGTGTCTCTCAATAGACTCCAAGAAAATCATTTTTACAATGAGTATAACCTTGTTTTATGATAAAAGTAGAAGATCGTAGATTGTAATTGTGTTTGATGCCCCGAGTGCACAGGAAATGGCTTACATGACCAAGATCCTGTTTGCTTGGAGCTTGGTTGCAACATGTAACCCTCCTGAGTTGCCTTTCTCTAGTAGTTGGACATTGACCGCACTGCGCTATATAAATCCTGTATAAGAATATATATATATTTGGGTAAGCCGTATTAGTCCAGTAGACAAGATGTAAAAAAAAACCTATTATTTTCAGTGTGCAATGATACCTTTCTTATCGGACTAACAAAATATATAAAAGACAAGCTTTCCAGAGTGAACCTCTCTTCTTCAGGTCAGAAGCACTATTACTATTAGCACAAGTATTGCTTCTGACCTGAAGAAGAGAGGTTCACTCTGGAAAGCTTGTCTTTTATATATTTTGTTAGTCCGATAAGAAAGGTATCATTGCACACTGCAAATAATAGGTTTTGTTTTTTTTGATAGAAATATATATTCTAATAATTTGTCCTGAATATTTATCATGAATGTTCCCCTGGACTCCTTACCATGTGTGATCACTCCCTTGTGTCTGACTCCTAGGGGCAGCTATTTTCTTTGAGTTCAAGCACTACAAGCCGAAGAAGAGGTTTACAAGCACAAAGTGTTTTGCCTTCATGGAGCTGGACGAGATCAAACCAGGACAGATAGTAATAGAACTGTAAGTGATATTTCATGTGCAGCTGCATGCTGTCTTCTTCTTCTTCTTCTTGATCGCTGTGATGTTTTAAAGTATATGTCCAGCCAAAAACTTAGTTTTAGTTTTGGACAGAAAGAAGTAGAATCCGATTAGTGCCTTTCCATGGCAACATACTTTTATCTACAGTCTTCGTTCTAGCTACAGACAGAGTGAGAGGGTGAACATTTTCATATATTCACGATTTGGTAGGCTGGCAGTGGGCATGACGGCTAATATATATATCTGCCATGGGAAAGGCATCAGGAAAAGAAAATTACATTATTTTTACCGTTATCTGTTTTCTGAAGTAGCGCCCCACCAAGACCTGTCCTGTCCAGGTTTTGCTTTGTAGCACTTAAAGAGGAACTTTACCCATATCTATAAAATGACGACAAAGATACCTTTTAGAAATGTTTAGTAACGGCAATCTACAAACATACTTCTAGATCAGCAGTTCTCAACCTGTGGGTCGCTGTGTGATTTCTGCTGTGCTAGCTGAGAGTCCTCCTCAGCCCTCTCCTAGCGCAGCAGTGTCAGTTCTCCCACCATGCTGACAGATGTTGCTGCAGCAGCCGCGTCATCTCAAAAATTTTACCGTGGGGGGTCACCACAACTTGGCAAATGTTACCAAGGGGTCCCGGCACTAGAAAGGTTGAGAACTACTGCTCTAGATCATTGCCGGCTTTCTATTCTTTGCATATCTTTTTTCTCTTTTCTTCCCCAGTCTTCTGACAGTGGCCATGTTTACTAAGGGCAAATTAATATATTTCCCTTTACTTCCTGGGACTCTGGCACATGTGACTAGGACATGTGACCATGCACATCATCTCAGAGGAGGAAAATGCCTTTCCCTGAGATCTCCTGAGATTACAGATGAGATTTCCCAGCAATGCTCGGCTGATGTAATTTTCCCAGGATGCAACGCTTGGGCACGATTACATTACTAATGCGCCAAGAGGACCAGGAAGTGGAAAAACCATAATTGTACGAGAGTAAAAGAAACATGTTTGAATGTGAGATGATTTTATATCGGCATGTAGAGCTGTATGCCGTTGTGATTTTTAGTGTAAGGGGTGTAAAGGTTCACTAATAAAGATGAGGCTGTAGAAAGCGCTGGATTGTTTCCCAGTTTGTGTGATTAAATATTAAAGTCTGCTCGATTGATCTGCAGCTACAAGAAGCCGACGGACTTTAAGAGGAAGAAGCTGCAGCTGCTAACCAAGAAGCCTCTGTATCTGCACTTACATCAGACGTTACACAAAGACTGACCCCCTCCAGAGTCTTACAGCGACCTTTGCAGAAGACCCCCACGTCTTTCCGCAGAGAACGCCTCTGGGTCTGTGACACGGCCGGGACCCGCTGAAAGAGGAGGAACCGACAAGCTGACACTAAGATGGTTCCGCCACAGTTCCGGATTCTATGCCACAGCAATAAGACCTGTGCAATGTCCACATCATCTTAACATAGCGGGGAGACCGCCGTCCCCACAGATCAGCGCATTAATGAACTTTTGTGACCGGGTCACTTCTGTATATAATCGTCTAACACAATATATGACTATAACTCTAATTGGATTTCCATACCCAACAAGACAAGTTCTGGATGGAGGGCGATTGACATTAATACAACCTGAAATTTGGACAACAAATTGCTCCACATTTCAGCTCCATCAGACCTGGCGGAACCTTGAAGGATTTATTCATCTTCCGGCTGTGATTATGGAGTACACAGAGCTTGTTGTGTGAAAAGTCAGCTCAATGTAAAGGTTTCTTGATGCCCACAGCTAGTATAGTTCTCTTTAGGGTCACGGGAGGACATATACCAACGTCCTCCTGTGACCCAAAACTCCGTATATAACGAGCTATTGCACGCTATATACTGAGTGCCGCAGGCGGGACAGATTCCAACAATTCTGCTGAGATTCACCCAGCTGCTCTATGTAGTGCCAGCTGTGACCACCCCCCTCCTCTGTCTGTCTGTCCAGTCAGCGCTGAAGGATCAGAGAGAGGAGGGGGGAATCCCTGCGGGGAGCGGTGACTGACTGCAGGGAGATGATCGGGAAGTAAGCGAGCGGCGGTATGTTATCACTCACTTCCTGATCAATAGAGCCGACGTGTGACAGTTTCAATGTCGCAGGTCGGCTGTAACTATGAGGATGAATGGAAATCACTCACCTTGTAGTTCTCCTTAAGTGTTGCAGGGTTTAGTAGCGCTGTTGATGTTTCAAAATGCAGCAGTGTAGCTTACCGCGCACATACATCAGGCCCACCTTGAGCTGCACTGTAGACAGATAGAGCTCTGAAGCAGACCTGTATCCGAAAACCCTTACCTGTTTGAACTGTGTAGCCGACTTAAAGTGAAACTATATTCGCCTCTACTCCTGTCCCTCACTGCCGACATCGGCTGCAGTATGTGGACACTACTCCCACGCATGCACACAGGAGTTCCTATACCCCGGTATATGCAAGCACCGCTCAGTCTACATTCTCTAGAACAGTGCCTCTTAAAGTGTGGGTCGCGACTCCATGGGGGGGGTCTCGATCTGAGTTCCCGGCCAGGACCGTCATCAGGGGGGTATGGCCGGTACTTGTGTGAGGGGCCCAGGCGGCCGAGGAGGTCTGGGCCCCAAGCTAGATTGTTTGTTTTATTTCAGTTTTACATTGACTGAACTTTCTTTAACCCAGCAGCAGTGGAGCACAGCTGCATGCGAGCAGGCAGGTAAGCATCCTGGATTCCAGAATAGACATGGCACGCGTCTTCTGCAGCAAAAAGCATGAATGTGCCCACATTTTTATTCACCATTTAAAGTGAACTGGCAACAAAGGGCTCCCTGCAATGAAGACCTAAAATACTCCCCAATACCTACTTTTGTAGTCCGCTTCCCGAGCCACTGATCTCTGTAGTAGTGAAAATAAACCACTTGCAGAATCTGACACTTCCAGGAGTGTCGGACTTTCTAGGACTCTGCTGCACTTAGTGGTTCCATGTGGGGGGGGGGTTTGGAGTTGGTTCCTGGGTTGGGGAATGGTGGAGGGGCACAGACTGACGAATTTAGATCAAGTCACAGGTTGAAATTCGGCCACTGTATGGCCAGTTGAAGCCCATGGCTACACTGGCGATTTTAATCTACTCAGACGGTTTGCTCAGCTCAATAGGCCAGAGCTACACAGAAGGTTTTTAGTAGCTCAATCCTGCTACTAACATTGGTAGGGCGTTCACTGCTAGATACAGCAAATGCTCAATAAATGCATGGAACACATGGCTGCCAATGGAGCAGGCTGCACAAGTAACCTGTAGTAGCAATCTTTTCATATGATCGCACAATGCTCGAAGATGTTACTTGTGTAGCCTGCTCCATTGGCATCCATGTGTTCCATTTATGTAGTGAGCATTTGCTACACCTAGCAATAAAGTCACTATTATTATTATTATTATACAGGGTTTATATAGCGCCAACAGTTTGCGCAGCGCTTTACAATATAAGGAAGACATTACAATTCAAGACAAGATGGTAAGGAGGGCCCTGCCCCTGAGGGCTTACAATCTAAAGGATAGCAGAGTTTGTAGCAGGATTGAGCTACTAAAAAATCTCCCGTGTAGCTCATTCACATTCAGGTGACTGCCAGCAAGGAAGTACATCTCTTAGCAGCAAAAGATTAAAATGGCCAGTGTGGCCGTAGCGTCATCGGCATTATGCCTATCTGGCTAAGGATCATGTGACCGGGAGGCTGACGTTGGGGGACTTTATTGAGAGGGAATAAGGGTTTTGTGTCTACAGCAAAGGGCAGTGTGGGTCACATGACCTAACATGCTGGTTTCAGGTCATGTGACTTCCATAGTCTGTCACCTAAAGTCCCTGTAATGTAATAAAAAGGACTTGGCCCAGTTTAGCTTCACCCCAAGATGGGAGGATTTCCTCCTGACAAAGAATTTGGTTGCTTTTGACACCACGTTTGGTGGTAAATTTTCTGGTTTGTACTATTTCCGTTTCCCTCCACCTGAAATTTGTTTGGAATGCGTTTTTACCTAAACAAGCATGGCCTGCAAAAAAAAAAATCTAGTCTAAGAAGACATTTCCACGCCAACGTACACCCAAAGCGCGTACACGTTAGGCCATTCGTAATGCCTTTCTCTTCACTTCCTTAAAAAAAATATACAAATGATTGTTTTTGGGGTTTCCTGATGAAGAATATGGACGTTGTTTTATTTCTCTCCGACTCCTAAATCTGCCTCAAACTTTTTATTGTTCCGCTGATTTCATACGAAGGAATTATTATTTTATGGGATTTTTTAATTTTGTATATTTTTCATCTTCCCGTTATCGCCCACGCCACCCAAAAATGATGTTTGTGTATCGGGCGGCCGCTGGTCCGGTGAATCCACTGGGCAGGTTCTGCTATCCCTTGGAGGATGCCAATGCTGAAATTCATCTTCGTGCCCACCAGGGCATACTATGGTGTCTCCAACCCAAGCCCATACTATGGTGTCACCTTCTCACAATAACATGGCGGTCAGATGGAATGGAGACTCCTGACTGAGATTTCCCATCAAAGTCTTTCCAATCCCTAGACTTAAGCAGCCGAAGTGATTCAGCGTGCCAGCGTCCCTACGATACCAAAACGAAGGGTTTTTTTTTCTTCAAATAAAGTTTTACCTGATGTCTGCATACAGACCGCCATTTTGGATGGCAGCAGCCATTTTCTCGTGTCCATGTTCAATTCATTGCTTCACTAAGAAATGATGGCACCACTAATACCCTTTGGCACAATATGGCTGCCTGGATGACAGGTACACTTTAATAGAGAAATCAGTTTACTGGCAAAACTGATGGTTTTGGGAAAGAATTCTCTTCCGTGTAATGAAATGTTTTATACTACAATTTGTAATGAATCGCTTACTCTGTGAATTTAGTTTTTATTCTACATTTTGGATATTGTTTTTCTATTGAACATTGCATTGTTGCTCTTATTGCTCTTACAAATTAAATCCATACTTTAAATGAGGAGTTTCCGCTTCCTTTTGTTGCTGGGAGACGGCCGGGGACGCTGATAAACGTCACGATACATCACTGCACACTGTGTACCATAGATGATGACAGGTGTAGATATGTGTATATTATTACACAGATAAAATCACCAGCACACGGTTTAGTACTTAAACATATTTATTCAAGATTCACATATATGTATTTATATCTTTATTAACTCAGACATCCGATTTATTGCTGATATTCATTTATTTTTTTGTTCGTTCTATTTACACATCATTTTATATTGATTGCTTTATCGTTCACAAGAGGATGGTCACTTTGTTTATCTAGAGATATATATTTATATATTTTACACACATTCTTATACTATTTACAATATATTTCACTATTGTTTGTTTTTTCACCATACACCAGGAGACTTATAGCGCTTACTATTTTAAAACCAATCTGTGAGGCTTATTCAGCCTTAGTTCTAGCAGCTTGTGGTTAACCCTGATTTTTTGCGAATCTTCCTCTTTTTTGGTCTGTTCCATAGCGCAGAACACCCAATCTTCCACCTTCTTCCATTGCTCCATTTCTGATCACATGCCCATTGTAGGCACTTTTGGCGTTGGACACGGGTCAGCATGGGCATCTCGACTAGTCTACACAGCCCCATACACAATAAACTGCGATGCTCTGTGTGTTCAGACACCTTTCTATCAGAACCAGTATTAACTTTATCAGCAATTTGAGCTCCAGTAGCTCTTCCACATTGGATTGGACTACATAGGCCCAGTCTTCCCTCCCCATATTTATCAATGAGCCTTGACCATGGCACCGGTTCACCAGTTTTCCTTCTTTGGACCACTTTTGGTAGGTCCTGACCACTGCAGACCGGGAACATCACACAAGAGCTGCAATTTTGGACTTGTTCTGACCCAGTTGTCCAGACATCACAATTCGGCCTTTGTTAAAGTCACTGAAATCCTCACACTTGGCCATGTTTTCTGCTTCCATCACATCAACTTCAGAGACATAATGTTTACTTTCAGCCTAATATATCCCCCTCACTTCTAGGTCCCATTGTAATATATCCCCCCCTCACTTCCAGGTCCCATTGTAATATATCCCCCTCACTTCCAGGTCCCATTGTAATATATCCCCCTCACTTCCAGGTCCCATTGTAATATATCCCCCCCTTCCAGGTACCATTGTAATATATCCCCCC